GGGACAGGGGCAGAGATAGGGGCAGGGGCAGGGACAGGGATAGGGGCACAGACAGGGGCAGGGGCAGGGACTGGAACCAGGAGGCTGACAGGGACGGGGGAGGGACACGGGGGACTGGGAGAGCCACTGGGAGAGGGACAGGGACAGGGACAGCGCCAGGCATGAGGTGGGGGCACACAGGGGTACAGCAGGGACATGGCCACGGGGACCCACGCAGCCCTGCACACATGGGCACCCCCATCCATGCAGCCCACGGCGCACGCCCGGGCACATGCTGGTACCCCAAAATCCAACTGCCCCCCATACCCCCACACCTCTCGGCTGTCCCCGTCCTGGCCAGTGCCAGGCAGCCCCACTGGTGCCACCATCCCCGCCACTGGTGCCACTGTCCTGGCCACGTGTGCCTGGCACATGTGCCAGCGGGTGGATTTGCCCGGGGGGATTAGCCACCACATGGGCCCCGGCCCTGACCTTTGTTTGGCAGCGGCCATGCCAGGGCCAGGGACCCGGTGCCACGGTGTCCCAGCTCCCATGGCTGCCCGGTGCCCGTGGGATGGGTCTGGGTGTGTCCCCCATGTCCCCTGAGTTCCCAGCCATGTTGCAACTGTGGGGATTTAACCTCGGGGCAGGCAGGGCCCAGCCACCCACAGCCAGCAACCGGAGCCGGTTTAACCGCATGGCAAAGCATGCCGATGGCTGTGGGATCGGCTGGGCCGCAAGCAACAGCCAGGGGGCTCTGGGGCCGGGCTGGGGAAGATGGACGCTGATGTGGGGCCCTGTGTGGCTTCGGTGGAGGAGCCCAAACCCGGGGCACTGCTGCCATCAGTACTGCACCCCAGAGGGGATGCGAACGGGTGACCTGGGTCATGGGACGCACCCAGGATGTGAACAGCTCTGTGGAGCATCCATGGGATACGGACAGCTTTGTGGCACATCTACAGCTCCAAGGGCTGGCTCCATGGGTCACCCATGGCTCTGTGGGACATGGATGGCTCTGTGGGACAGGGATGACTCTGCAGGACACAGATGGCTCCGTGGGACACAGATGGCTCTGTGGGACATCCATGGGTCCATGGGACATGCACAGCTCCATGGGACATGGGTGGCTCCATGGGACATCCACAGGGCCATGGGATATCCACAGCTCCAAGGGGCACGTATGGTTCCATGAGACATCCATAGGGCCATGGGACATGGATGGGGCCATGGGACACGTACAGCTCCATGGGACACAGATGGCTCCATGGGATATGCACGGCCCCACAGGACACATGCAGCACTGCTGGGAGGGGACAGTGGGGACGGGGGAGCCTTCCCTTGCTCAGGACCCCAACTGGAGCAGGTCCGTGGAGGCCAGGGCCGGGGCTGCAGGACCCCTGCAGGGACCCCTTCTCCTGGCCAGGACCCCCTCCCCAGCTGGGGTCCCCCCTTGGGGAAGTCCCCTCTGGGGAGTAAGGGCCACTGCCCATGAACTGGCAGTGGAGGGTGACCCTGCTGTCCCAGGTGCCTCTCTCCTGTCCCCTCTCCCTGGTGCTGCCCCATGCCCTCACCCTGTCCCCTGCCCCACCTCCCAGCCCTGCTCCCACATCTGTCCCCTATCCCCATCCCACCCCTGTCCCTGTCCCCATCAC